CCCCTTCAATCTGGGGTGGAAAAGAGCAGACAGTCAAGTCCCAGCCCGGGCCACACCAGTCAGACCGACCAGCCCGCCGCCCCAGCAAAGCCACGCACCGGACCACCCCCATACCCTACCAACTGCCAGGTGCCCACCCCCAACCGACCACCCCCCAGACTCCGGCAGCCACCCCAGCCAGAGTTTTACTTCCGAATTTTAAATATGCTCTCAATTTATCATTTTTTTCCTTTACACACATTTAATGTTTATCATGTTCAGTCGAATCTGTCTTCATTCCTTGCTGCAAATATTTCTCTTTGTCACTTATCAGCTCTTCTCTCCCTCCCTCCCTCTTTTCTGTTTGTCTCCTCATTTCTTTAAATGGCGTGTGCCATTATAGACTCGCCTGTGCTTCCACTGGTATTTTATTTGTTTACAGTTCCCAGAAAGGGAGATCTGAGAAAGAGGAAGCAGAGTGATTGTTCCCGTTCAGAGAGGCAGCACTCTGACCATTATTTGTGTTGTCCCGGGTGATCTAATATAGTCCTGAAAGTTGCAAAGTTCTCTCATTTTAAAACAAAAACAAATTTCCAATAAAGACTGGACCTCTTGTGTTGCCTCAGGTCTACTAGTTTACTATTGACTGTTCTCTTCTGTGTTTTTTTATTATTATTTTTTTGTGTGTGAAATTCAGGCCTGTCTACATTGTCACCTGCTGGTTCTGGTAGAGGAAAGGACAGAGGAAAGAGCAGGAAGTCCATATTTGGCACAGCTCCATCTCGCTGCACCATAACAGGGGAGGTGATGACTCCGAGCCGAGCTCCAGGGAAAGGTAAGCAAGACGTAAAGGTGCTGATTGTCTAAGAGAGGATCAAACTTAAAGTGAAAGGAGTTACGACAAAGATTAGTTCACCCCAAAGATCCAGTTTCCCGGAAAAAACAGAGTAATATAATATATGCTGTTAAGTGTCAGGAGGACTGTGATCAGTTATACATCGGGGAAACAAAACAGCCACTGTTCAAAAGAATGAGCCAGCACAGACGAGCTATGTCTTCAGGTCAGGATCCTGCAGTTTACAGGCTCTGCAGTTTACACTCATCTACAGGCCAGCGGTCACTCTTTCAGGGATGAAGATGTTCTCATCCTTGATAGAGAGGAACGTTGGTTTGAGAGAGGAGTAAATGAAGCCATCTTTGTGAAGAAAAACCGTCCACCATTAAACAGAGGTGGAGGCCTTCGTGTCCATTTGTCCCCCTCCTACAACCCTGTTATTGCAAGTATGACTCAGCCCCCTGTGAGCAAAAGGTGTGAATCAGGYCCCCAACGATACAACACAAAGAGGGAGAGAGGGACAAAAACAAGGGGATGTTGAACCCTGCTTGCATTCACTACACACACATAACACGACACGGGTCAGGTGATGGGGAACATGACCCTCTATGAACAATAGAGCCAATAAAGCCAATTGTTAGGCGATGGCCCTCTTTTGCATGTGACTAAATAGAGCTAATCAAGCCTATTGTTAGGCGATGGCCCTCTTTTGCATGTGACTAACCTGTTTGTCCATGTGGAGGCAGGGCTTATAAGGCTGAGTTCACCTGAAACTCATCAGACTGAAAAAGTGTCTTGGAGGAGAGACGAAACGTTTCACTAAAGAAGAACCCATCCAGAGGACCTACTTATTTTTTTCATTTTGATTTTTTTTCTACCTGGATTGCTGAGATGCATCAGGACATTAAAGTGAAAGGATGGTTACAATACCTGTGTTTATAATTTGTGACTTATTGAATCAAATAATCTGCTGTAATTGTTCCTGCATTAGTAAAATTTGTAAAGGATAACTTAGAAGACAACATAATTTCATGTAAGAAGCTGATAGAGGAAACATTTTCAGAACCTTGAAATGTTTTTCTTAGGTGGCTCCGAGCGGCTCAGCTGGGAGGAACCACAGACATCTCCTGTTCTCCACGCCTCCACGTCACTCAGCGCCATCATCCGCACACCAAAGTGCTACCACATCTCCTCCGTCAACGAGAACGCGGCTAAACGCTTGTGTCGGCGCTACTCTCAAAAACTGATCCAGCACACCGTGTGCCAGCTGCTCAGAACTTACCCGGCAGCCACCAGGATCGACTCGACCAACCTCAACCCTCTGCTGTTCTGGCTGCATGGAATCCAGCTGGTGGCCCTCAACTATCAGACGGACGGTGAGGACGATGTGCAGCGATTCTCCTCTGTTTACATTAATGCAAGTGCTGTATCTGACTTCCAACTGCACTTCACAGCAATTTGGCTTTCATAACCGTTCCATAACCAAGCACCAGCAAACGGTCCAAAAATACTTTAGTCAGTACTTCTTGTATGGATATTTTCCTGATCACACTTATCAGTTAAACAAACTGCTCATAGCTTCATCGTCCAATAGGAAAATAGTGAGCAATAAGAGTTGAATCTGTTATCACATCATTTGTAAAACCAGTTCAGACTAGCTTTATCACAGAGAAACAGCCCTCYGTTAGTGTTAGAAGATTGTTCAGGATTATTCATGAATATAAAATCTAACCAGATACAAAGTTAAAACATTCTGCAGTTGTTTTAACTGGCAGCCTGACATTTAAAAGCCTGGCCTCTTTTTTTTCCCCACCTTATTAAAAATATATATTGTCTTTGTGCTCCCTGAGCTGGAAGTTTAATTTATCTCATTGTCTGCATTCGTGATAAGAAACAGATAAAAACCTAGACTATCAAAAAGAGGTACCAGATATGAATGCTTGCTCACCATAACATTTACTCTTTGCTTTTACAGAATCACTTCCTGCAGRGATGAGACCGAATGGCAATATCAGAAGCAATGTAACAATCTTATTTAATTGTAAATTAGTCTATATGCTGATAACATTATGCTGCTCCTCAGAAATCATTACTTCCCCTTTACAGCCCGCTGAGCTTTTAAATTGGCAGTGGGAGGGGAGTCACAGATCTCAGGTGTGTGCGGAGATTAATTCCATATTTTTATCGATTTCAGTTATCCATCCGAATTTTGCTTCTCCTCCTCTAATTCAGCAGACTATATATATTTTACTGTAAAGACTAAAAACATGGGGTAAAATGATTAGTCAAAAAAAGGGAAATCACTTAAAACAGTAAGATGGAAACAGGCAAGAAAGTTTTCATTTCTCTTTAAGCAAAGCTCCCTGTTCAGTGTTCAGCTGCAAATTATAGTGTTGTTGTTGACAAAAATTCTGCGGATCAATAATAAATTTATTTGTATTCTTTCCTCTTTCTTTGCCTCCTACTCTGCAGACCTGCCTATGCAGTTGAACACGGCGTTGTTTGAGGCCAATGGGGGCTGTGGCTATGTACTGAAGCCTGCAGTGCTTTGGGATCGTAGCTGTCCACTTTATCAGCAGTTCTGTCCGAATGAAAGAGATCTGGAGAAAATGAGCCCCGCAGTCTATTCTCTCACAGTGAGTTAGAACATCAGTCAGAATGATCTCTGTGTTCTCCAAGCCRACACAGCCAAGACAGCGGTGTCTTTCTGTTGATTTGTTGGGCTAACTTCTGTTCCCCCAAAGTTGATCTAAGTAATTTGTTTAGTATTTATTTGTAGCATTTCTTAAAAACCAAACCATGTGATTTTWATGGGGCTCAATAATCTCGCGTTGTTTTTATTTCCTCAGATCGTTTCCGGTCAGAACGTTTGTCCGGGAAACAGCTCTGGCAGTCCCTGCGTCGAGGTGGATGTTCTGGGCATGTCAGTGGACAGCTGTCACTTTCGTACCAAACCCATCCACCGCAACACCCTCAACCCCATGTGGAGCGAACGCTTTCAGTTCACCGTGCATTTCGAAGAGATGTGTTTCCTGCGATTTGCTGTGGTGGAGAACAACAGCTCCCAGATCACAGCTCAGAGGACTCTGCTTCTGAAGGCCCTCAAACCAGGTCAGAGTTAAAACGCTGTTCTAATGAGAACAGGACGAAGCTAAAAGCTTTCAGCCTTGAATCGATTTCAGTCTTGTCCTTTTAAGAAGAATTACTGAAAAAAAATCCATTCAATTATATTTGTTGTTGTGTCTTTCAGGTTACAGACACGTTCAGTTGAGGACGCAGCATAACGAACCTCTTGAAGTGTCCAGCTTATTCATCTACAGCCACAGAAAAGAGGAAGGTCCTACAGGGGGCGCCACTCCCTCATCTTTGGTAAGACACCCTCAGGTCCGGTGCTGAGAGCTTCTAAGAAGGTCTGATCGGTTAAGAGCACTTGTAAAACTTCAAAGCCTACGTAATGACACATCCTCATTAAAGTTTAAAATGTGATAAACTTCAGTCTGAGAAGGTTCAAAGAGATGCTGCTGGCCCAGTCAGCAGCATCAAAACTTGCTTTGCTTTTGCTTTATGGTGCTCTTTGAGGAGAATGTCTACTAAAGCAGAAATGTCAAATCAGGATGTTTCAAACTAACCTGCTGCCTTGTACGTCTCCTTCCTACACAGCTTTTCAGTTCAGAGGAGAAACGTGCRTCACAGCAACATCGAGTGACAGTGCACGGAGCTCCTGGTCCCGAGCCCTTCACGYTTTTCTCTGTTACAGAGCAGACCACTGCCAAACAGCTGCTGGACATGGTTAGCACTTTAGAAATATAAATGCAGCCACAGCCATGGAAATAAACAAGTCCTATTTGTGTTTCCGTATGAAGTTACATCCATCATTGTGTGTGTTTGTCAGGTTGTGGCACCAGCAGGTAACCCATCAGAGTTCTTCTTATGTGAGGAGAAGGCCCCCTTGTCGAAGGAGCGCAGCGAGGTAAAGCGCTGTGCTCAGTGTCGACCTCTAGCACCTGAGGAAGAGGTGGTCAGGCTCGTGTGCAGCTGGAACACTGAGGAGGGATATGTGGGAAAGATCTGCCTCAAATCAAGAGACGAGGTACAGATAAATAAACAAACCTTCAACTTTAATATTAGAATGAAGAGTGCGCTGAGGTTTGCCCTTTTTGTCATGRCTGTGAGATACTCTGGCTCCCTCTTGTGGTGGCCCTAAACAAATAAGTTTTATAGTTCTGTATTTTGTGGTTTGATCATTACAGAACTTACATGAGAAAATCACAGTCCTGGAGAGAGAGGAGGACACAACTGCAGGAGGGAAAGATGGAGGAGGAGAGGAGGATATGTTCTTTGTCCAAGTCCATGAAGTTTCACCAGAACAGCCCCACACAGTGATCAAAGCCCCGCGGTACAGCACTGCTCAGGACATCATACAGCAGGTGAGTCACAATAACATTTTTAAAGCTGGTCTGTGCGGTAAATATATTCTGGCACACAAAGAAACTACARGCTCAGTTTCTGTTTGTTGTTTTGACCAGACGCTGTCAAAGGCAAAGTATTCCTACAGTATCCTGGCTAATCCCAACCCCTGTGACTATGTGCTGGTGGAGGAAGTGACCAGGGACGCCGGTTCTAAGAAGTCCTCCACCACCAAGCCCCTTCAGCGGGTGCTGCTGGACCACGAGTGTGTCTARCAAGCTCAGAACCGCTGGCGGGGCGTGGGAAAGTTCATTCTTAAATTTAAAGAGCAGGTAGCTCTAAACATACCAAACTTAGTTTCTGTTCAGCGCTTTATGTGCAGTGACTTTGAAAATTCTGCTTTGGTTTTTCCCACTTTTGCTTTTTTAGGAAAAAACACTGATTTAAAACCGCATCACAAAATTTCTACTTGATGCGTGTGTTTTTGCTTTTACTAATAACAGATTAATCACTAAGCAAGCAGTTTTGCAGCAATACTCTGTTCATTCTCACTATTTTGTTGTAAGAATGCTTGAATCACTCATGCACCTGTCACTGCTGCTTTTTAAAATATGTTCCGCTTATGTGTTTGGTTTTGTGATCCATGCAGAATATTTGACTTTACAAATTGTGTTTTCCATGTTTATTATTCATCCTTCGTTGGCTTCTGGAGCTTTTTGTTATGCAACCTTGGAAGAAATGCCTAAATGTCCTGCCTCTCTGAGTAAAAATTAAATTACTTTGTATATTCTGTATAATGTTTTTTTCTCAAAACTGAGCTAAAAAATTTAATTATGTCACAAATATTTGCTTGTTTAATCATKGTTTTGCATTCACAACTCGAACGTTGGTTCTAAAAGTACAAGGTTACATTTTAGTAAAATATCAGATTTTACCACGGTACCCTTTCTTTTTCCAGGTGGTGCGGGAGGACAAAAAGAAAGTCATCTCCTTTGCCAGCGAGCTCAAAAAGCTGACCAGTCGCAGTCGCAGCATGAACACTGGCGTCAGCGTGGACGGCCCCGCTCAGAGTAAGGACGAGCGAGCTGCATGCTGTGTGGCTCTGACAGAGCTCCAGGAGTGAGGCTCACTGCTTTGCCTGCTGCCTGTGCATGGAAAGGCAACAGAGGTACCGTATGTTGTCTCTAACCTCTAACACCACAGGAGGAGGGCTCGGTGTGAGCAGAAAAACAAACAAAAAAAAAAACAGTCTCCAAAATTTCAACAAATTGCATTTTTTCTGACAGACAGCATTATTTATATTAGGATTTGTCTGAACCGGATCTGTGGGAAGATCTTCTTTTTAAAAATCGTCCATTTAACCWATTCGACCCACCAAAAACAGTTTGATAAACCTCTTCCCATCAACATAAGCCAGTGTGCTGGAGCTGATCAATAACTTCCTAAACCAGCCCAGCAGGGTTGTTGTGCTGCTAGAGTACCAGGACACATTTCATCACACAGCTTGTCTTTAAAGGGGCAATATCATATAAAATCAACTTTTTTGAGTTTTATATCATGTTTTAATGTTATACTCTCATAAAAAACATGCCCAAAGCCTTACTTTGACTCATTCATGCATGTCTGAGAAATCCTGCAGCGTTTTTAGGAAGCCATGCTGTGGAGCAAAACGACAGGTGGGGACCAGAAACGCCCCTGGAACGTGTCTTTAAGCCGAGCTTCCTCATCACGGAGCACACCTCCCCACCCCCC